TTCGGGGAGGGGGCGCAAGCTGCGGCGACCCAGGGGGCGCCACTCGCTGCGGCGCGCACCCCGCGCTGGAGCTCTGGCCGCGGCGCCGCCCCGCGCCGTGGGGGCGCCTCCAGAGACCGCCGCTGCGGCCATGAAGAGTCCAGCCTCGCGAGGGCCGCCCGACGCGTCGGCGCTGGTGGCGTCGGCGGTGGCGGGCGGGCTGACAGGCGCTAGGCCTCCCAGATGGGGTCGGAGTGGGCCAGGTCCGAGGACCGCGCCGCACCGTCCTGCCGATGCGTCGGCGGTGCGGCTCGTTGTGGAGCGTGGTTTTCTCCACGCTGGCGTCGCCGATGCGTCGCGATGGCGATTGGCGCGATCCTCCGACCCGTCCAGTCGGACCCTGCCTGGGAGCTCTCCGGAGGCCTGCTCGTCATCTTTCGGGACGTCAGCTTCGCGCTCGTCTACTGCAGTCGAAGAGAGGGCGACGGCATACGCGCAGACTTTCCGAGCTCCGCACGGATTTTCTTGGATCATCGCCGGGACCCCCCTCCAGGACTCGCGGAGCGCGCCAGGGGCGGCGCCCCAGGCGCCGCCAGGGGGGTCCCAGCGCCGATCCAAGAAAATCCGCGCGGAGCTCGGCGAGTTTGTGTTTATCGAAGACGCCTACGGCGAATCACCGCCGCCCCCTGCCTGTGTGGAAGCGCCTATGTGGCCGAACGTTGAGGCCAGACCTGCCAAGCCATCGGACCATGTGTTCCCCGAATCGGTTTGGAAAGCCTTCGGGGAACACGTGGGCATCTTGAAGGTCATCGTGGCTGCCTGGAGGGCATTTTGACCCTTTCTGGTCTTCTTGGAGGACTTCTTGGAGGGCTCTTGGACCGTCTTGGAGGCTATCTTGAGCGTCTTGGAGACCTCTTGGGCCGTCTTGGGGGCCTCTTGGGGCCGTCGGAAGCCGTTTGGGGGGCCTCTATGGGCCGATTTGGGGCCCTCTCAGAATGCTCCATGGCCGGCTCGGAGACCATCTTGGGCGTCTTAAAGGCCTCCTGTGCCGTCTTGGGGGCCTCTTGGGGCCGTCTTGGGGCCCTCTTGGGCCGTTCTGGGGCCATCTTGGAGGCCTCGTGGGCGATCTTTCGGCGATCTTTGGGGGCTCTTGGGCCGTCTCGGGCCGTTTGAAGGTCGAAAATATGGAAATGTCGAATTCCGTCAAAAACCTCAAGAATATCAAGGTTTTTGGCCTCTTCTGGCCTTCCTGGAGGCCCTCTTGGGGGCCTCTTGGGCCGTCTTGGGCCAGCTTCGAGCCAAATTCGGCCATCTTGGTGGGTTCCTGGCACGTCTGACGCCGTCGGGAGCCGTCTTGGGGGCCTTTCTAGGCCGACTGGGGGCTCTCTTGGGTCACTTCGGGGCCGTCTTGGAGGCCATCTTGGGCGTCTTGGAGGCCATCTTGGGCGTGTTGAAGGCCTCTTGGGCCATCTTGGGGCCCTCTTGGAGCCGTCTTGGAGGCCACTTGGGCCGTCATGGGGCCCTCTTGGGGGCCTCTTGGGCGATCTTGGGGGCCTCTTGGGCCGTCTTGAGCCGTCGGAATGCCGAGAAGAGGCAAATTCCAAAATCCTTCAAAAACTCAGAAAAAAAACAAAGGATTTCGGCCTCTTCGGGCCTTCCTGGAGGACCTCTTGGAGGCCTCTTGGGCCGTCTGGGAGGCCTCTGGGGGGCCTCTCGGGCCGTCTTGGACTCTCTTGGGCCGTCTTGGAGGCCGTCTTGGACCATCTTGGGCGGACTTGGAGGCCATCTTGGGCCATCTTCGCGATTTTTTGAGGATGTCCCGAGCGACGCGGCCGTTTCAGGCATTGACTGATGTAGTTTCCGGGTGGCCGGCGGGACGTGCCGGAGCCCCAGGGGGAGTTCTTTTGGAAACAGAACCAAAACCAAAACCTAGAGGGTTCAGCACGCCAGGCACCCCTGCGATGAATTGACAGGGGGCGGCGGATCTAAGACGCCTACGGCGAATCACCGCCGCCCCCTGCCTGTGTGGAAGCGCCTATGTGGCCGAACGTTGAGGCCAGACCTGCCAAGCCATCGGACCATGTGTTCCCCGAATCGGTTTGGAAAGCCTTCGGGGAACACGTGGGCATCTTGAAGGTCATCTTGGCCGTCTTGGAGGCCTCTTGGGCGATCTTTCGGCGATCTTTGGGGGCTCTTGGGCCGTCTCGGGCCGTCGGAAGGCCGAAAAGAAGGAAATGTCAAATCCGTCAAAAACCTCAGGAAAATCAATGTTTTTGGCCTCTTCTGGCCTTCCTGGAGGCCCTCTTGGGGGCCTCTTGGGCCGTCTTGGGCCAGCTTCGAGCCAACTTCGGCCATCTTGGTGGGTTCCTGGCACGTCTGACGCCGTCGGGAGCCGTCTTGGGGGCCTTTCTGGCCGACTGGGGGCCCTCTTGGGTCACTTCGGGGCCGTCTTGGAGGCCATCTTGGGCGTCTTGGAGGCCATCTTGGGCGTGTTGAAGGCCTCTTGGGCCATCTTGGGGCCCTCTTGGAACCGTCTTGGAGGCCACTTGGGCCGTCATGGGGCTCTCTTGGGGGCCTCTTGGGCGATCTTGGGGGCCTCTTGGGCCGTCTTGAGCCGTCGGAATGCCGAGAAGAGGCAAATTCCAAAATCCTTCAAAAACAAAGGATTTCGGCCTCTTCGGGCCTTCCTGGAGGACCTCTTGGAGGCCTCTTGGGCCGTCTGGGAGGCCTCTGGGGGGCCTCGCGGGCCGTCTTGGACTCTCTTGGGCCGTCTTGGAGGCCGTCTTGGACCATCTTGGGCGGACTTGGAGGCCATCTTCGCGATTTTTTGAGGATGTCCCGAGCGACGCGGCCGTTTCAGGCATTGACTGATGTAGTTTCCGGGTGGCCGGCGGGACGTGCCGGAGCCCCAGGGGGAGTTCTTTTGGAAACAGAACCAAAACCAAAACCTAGAGGGTTCAGCACGCCAGGCACCCCTGCGATGAATCGACAGGGGGCGGCGGATCTAAGACGCCTACGGCGAATCACCGCCGCCCCCTGCCTGTGTGGAAGCGCCTATGTGGCCAACGTTGAGGCCAGACCTGCCAAGCCATCGGACCATGTGTTCCCCGAATCGGTTTGGAAAGCCTTCGGGGAACACGTGGGCATCTTGAAGGTCATCTTGGCCGTCTTGGAGGCCTCTTGGGCGATCTTTCGGCGATCTTTGGGGGCTCTTGGGCCGTCTCGGGCCGTCGGAAGGTCGAAAAGATGGAAATGTCAATTCCGTCAAAAACCTCAAGAATATCAATGTTTTTGGCCTCTTCTGGCCTTCCTGGAGGCCCTCTTGGGGGCCTCTTGGGCCGTCTTGGGCCAGCTTCGAGCCAACTTCGGCCATCTTGGTGGGTTCCTGGCACGTCTGACGCCGTCGGGAGCCGTCTTGGGGGCCTTTCTAGGCCGACTGGGGGCTCTCTTGGGTCACTTCGGGGCCGTCTTGGAGGCCATCTTGGGCGTCTTGGAGGCCATCTTGGGCGTGTTGAAGGCCTCTTGGGCCATCTTGGGGCCCTCTTGGAGCCGTCTTGGAGGCCACTTGGGCCGTCATGGGGCCCTCTTGGGGGCCTCTTGGGCGATCTTGGGGGCCTCTTGGACCGTCTTGAACCGTCGGAATGCCGAGAAGAAGCAAATTCCAAAATCCTTCAAAAACTCCAGGAATTTGGCCTCTTTGGGCCCTCCTTGAGGACCTCTTGGAGGGCTCTTGGGCTGTCCTTGAGGCCTCTTAGGGGCCTCTTGGGCCGCCTTGGGCCATCTTGAGGCTATCTTAGGCCGTCTTGGGTGCATCTTGGGCCGTCTTGGCGGCATCTTGGGGACATCTGAGCCGTCTTGGAGGCCATCTTGGCCGTCGGGGAGGCCATCTCGAGCCATCTTGGAGGATTTTTTGCGGTCGTTGAGCACGTTTCCGGGCCTTCCGCGGCCCCGGCGGGACGGGGAGAAACCCATTGGGAGAGTTCTTTTGGAAGAAGAACCAAAACCAAAAGCGATAGGATTTGGCACGCCGGGCACCCCTTTGCTGAAGCCTGTTGGATGTTCGTCGGGATCTCGTGGGAGGCCTCTCGGCGGCCTCTTTGAGGCAGTTAGGAGGCCTCTTGGAAGCCGTTTGGGCTCCTCTTGGGGCATCTTTTGGGCCTCTTGGGGGCCTCTCGGAGTCTCTTGGGGGCCTCTTCGGGCCTCTTGGGGCCTGCTGGGCGCCTCTTGGGGCCTCCTGGGGGCCTCTTGGGGAGGAAGGCTCGGATTTTCGGTTCGTGTTCTCTCTCTCGGGCCCCTTTTGGGGCCGTCCGGGGACCCTCTTGGGCCGTCTTGGGCGCCTCTTGGACCATCTTGGGGCGCTCTTCTTGGGGCCCTCTTGGAGGCCTCTTGGGCTGTTTTGGGGTGGCCTTGGGGGCCTCTTGGGCCGTCTTGGAGCGTCGGAAAGCCGAACATCTTTCACATACTTTAGGAACATCAATGGCTTTTGCCTCTTGAGGCCCTCTTGGCAGGCCTCTTGGAGGCCTCTTGGGGCGTCTTGGAGGCCTCTTGGGGCGTCTTGATGCCATCTTGGGCGTCTTGGGCCGATCTTTGGTCGTCTCGGGGCCCTCTTGGGCCGTCTTGCAGGCCGCTTGGGGCCCGCTTGGCCCGACTTGGTGGGGCCCTCTTAGGCCCGAGGAATTCACGCGCCACCACTTGACAAAGCCCAGGGGAGACGCGGAAAGCCCCGGGATATTTGAGAGCGAGGATCTGGGCCCCTTAAAGACTCTTCAGGAGTGAGGAGTCGGGCTTAGAGGATTGGGCCCAGGGCCCGGGGACACGCCCACTCCGAGCCCAGCGGCACGGTGGCGGATCTTGTTTCCTTTCTTCCATGCAGCGCCGCGCCTCTGGCGCACTCCGTGACGCTCGTGGTGACGCTGCTCCTGGTGTCGTCGGTCCTGTCGCAGGCGGTGCAGACCTGGAACCACCCGCTGCCAGGCTGCATCGCGTGCCCCTCGTCCACCGCAGTGCCCTTCCAGGCCGCGATGACCGCGGCCGTCGCCGCCTCCGTCGAGGCTGACGCCGTGGTGCCGACGGTGGTGGCGCTGCATGCCGCGGTGGCCCTGGCGTACGGGGCCCTGCTGCTGGCGCTCAGCGAGGCGCCTGGCCTGGACACGGCCAAGGGCGCCTTCCCGCAGCCGGTCATGCTGGGCTTCTTCTCGGTGTGCGGGGTGGGCATGCTCAGCAGCGCCCTGGAGCTGGTCTGGGGAGAGGCGCCTTCCACGCGGCTGCTGCTGGGCGGGGAGTCCGGGATGCGGCTGAAGGCCTGCTCGGGGGTCGCCAGCTGTGCACCGAAACAGCACCTGGCCAGGCCCGTCCAGGGTTCAGAATTCGGGTCGGAGCGTGCACCACACTCGCAGCTTCAGTGCAGCCAGTGCTTGAATATCCAAGGAGTCGCATCTGGGCCTAAACTGCGTACGACACACGCACACACGAGACCTCAAAGTCTGCTCTGTCACCTCTCCAGGGTAACCCACTGCCCCCGATAATAAAGCCTACCCCCCTTTCCCCCTCTATATTTTTTATCTCGTGTCAATCGGATTTAATTGTGGAGAGGGGCGCGGAGGCCGAACTTAATACTCCCCGTTGGAAGTTGCGAATCGAAGCTGCTATCATCTCATGTTGACTAGCAACAGCATCAAAAACGCTGAGCATGGCAATGGTGGTCTTACCAGCTCAGCTTCCGCAATCACGAGCGTGTGGCAGGGCTGTGGGATTGTTTTCCCAAGTCACGAACGTGCGGCAGGGCCATGGGATTCTCACTTTCTCAGCCCTTCCCGAATCAGGAACGTGTGGCAGGGCCATGGGGACCGATTGGATTTTGACGTTACATGCGTTTTTCGAGCAGGCAGAGCGTTGGAGTTACTTTTTAGCGCATCCCTCACACGCTTCGTGGCCCCTCCTCCTCCTCCTGCTGCTCCTGCTGCTCCTCCTCCTCGTCCCCCTTCTCCTCCTCCTGCTCCTCCTCCTCCTCCTCTTCCTCCTCCTCCTCCTCCTCCTCCTCCTCCTCCTCCTCCTCCTCCTCCTCCTCCAGCAGCGGGGCCCCGGGGGTCCCGAGTCCGGGGGGGCCCCCGGGACACTCGGCGCGCGGGCGCGGGCGTGTTCCGCCGCAAACCGCCCGCCCGCGCAGCCGCCTGGCCAGCGGCCTGCGGTCCCACCGCCCGGCGCCGCTCGGCCCAGCAGCGCCGCAGTCGCCCCAGCGGCCCCCGCGCCGCCGCCGGCTCGCGCCGGGCGCCCGCCGCGCTGCCGGCAGAGGCCGCCGCGCCTGCCCCGCGCCCGCCTGCTGCCGCTGGCTGCCCGGGCGGCTCTGGCGGCAGCCCGGCGCCCCCGCCCAGCTCGCCCCCCTGCTGCTTCGAGAGCCGCCCGGCGTGGCCTCCGCGCCCGGCAGCCCGCGCCAGCCCCGCCGGCCGCCAAGCGCCCGAGCCGGAGCGCGCCTCGCCCCAGCAGCGCGCCCAGCGGCAGCCCGGCGGGCTGGCGCCCCGGCAGCCGGCGCCGGCAGGCTGGGGCGCGGCGCGTGGCAGTCTAGCCCCCTGTTCCGGCTCCGCGCCTTGCGCTGGCGGCCCACCCCTGCGCCTGCGTCGCCGCCAGCACCGCGTCGGCGGCGTTCCGCTGGAGGACGCACCCGAGCGACTGGTGCAGTCGCCAGATGGCCGCGGAGCGGGCCGTGTCTTGGGCGGGCGCCAGCAGCCTCGTCAGGGCCAGCGCCTCCTCTCCCAGGCGGCCGTGGTCCTCCGCCACGAAGGACACCACAACCACCCCGGGGTAGCGGGCCCGCTTGCACCGCGCCGCGGCCGCCGCTGCCGCGCCGTCCAGCCGCGCCAAGCCGAGCGCGAGCGCGTCTTGTGTGAGCGCGCTCGCCACGGTCAGGTCGACCATGAGTGGCTCAGCTAGGCCTGGGGCGTGAACGACGAGGTCCATCCGCGCCTCCGGGCTCGCCGGCGCGGCGTGCGTGAGGAGGACTTCTCTGTGTACGGTACACCCGTGTTCCTCGCGCCACTCCGCGAGCGCCGCGCAGCCCGCGTCGTGGCGGCGGACCAGCCATCCGCCCACCTTGCAGCCGCGGGTGTGCCGCCCCTTGGGGTCCAGTGGCGCGCCGCAGACTCTGCCGTCGGGGTGTCAGTGCTGGCAGAGCCTCGGCGGCCGTGGCCCTGCTGCGCCTGCCGCGGGCGCGGAGGCCGTGCAGCCAGGCAGGTCGAGGTTGAGCCGGCACCGCAGCGCAATGTCCAACTGCGCATTGGTCAGCCTGTGGGGTGGCAGGGCCGCGTCGGCACCTGCAGGAGTGCGCTCGCTTCCGGGCTTCCCGCGGAGCGCAGGGCGGCCGCCGCCGAGGGGTCCGCGGCCGCTTCGTCGGCGGCGAGGCGGGCAGCCGCAGCGAGGGAGGCCGTAGCCAGGGTGTGCTGCGTAGCTGCCAGTGCCTCGTCGCCCACGTGGGCGGTGTCGCCCCCTAGCGCGGCCCAGAGCGTCGCCGTGGCCGCCGGCAGGGCGCGGCGCGCCCAGGGGTTCAGCGCTGCTAGGGCGGCGGCGCTGTCCAGGCCGAGCCTCCGCAGGGCAGCGCGGCAGGCAGAGGTGCCAGGAGGCTGCGCTCGCCGCGGGGGCCGCGAGCTCAGCGCTCTGCAGTCCGTCGCTTCCGGCGGCGCCGGCGAGAAAAACTTCCTGCGCGTGGCGTCGCCCAGCGGGTCGCCCAGGGCGTGCGCGTACTTCGCGGCCAGCGCCCCGTCCAGAGCCCGCGCCTCCCCAGTCGGGACGCCGCAGGTGCGCGCCAGGAACGTGTAGTCAGAGCCTCTAGCCCGTCCGCGGGCGCAGGAGTGTGAGCGCCGCGTGCTTGTCCAGGCCCGCCGCGCAGAGAGTGCGCAGCCTCTGGTAGAGCCTCCCGCGGGCTGTCTGCAGCGCCGACACCTCGGGGCTTCCCTCGGCGAGGAGGCTCCGTTCCGCCGGCGCAGCGGCGGGGGTCGCTGGGACCATCGGCAGCGCGCCGTGGCGGAGTACCAGGGCCCGGGGTTCTAGCTCGCGCCGCCCAGGGAGCGCCGCCACGTCGACCTCCCCGCCTGGGCTCAGCTTGGTCTTGGCCGGGTTGCCGCGGAGGCCCACCGCGGCGCAGTCGCGCGCGAAGGCTTCCTCGGCGGCGGAGGCGAGGGGTCACGCATGACGTCGAAGTCATCTTGGTAGCAGTACCCCCTTGCCGGTTTCGCCGCGGTGGTTGTTGCCTGCTCCACGGCGCCGGCCACCCCGTGGTAGCACAGAGGGGAGACCTGGTTGGTGAGGGCGTCTCCCTGGTCCCCGCCGCGCTCCTTCTGGAGTCGGGTCCGCGTGCCGTCACGCGCCTCGTGCACGTGTGTGGCAGCCGTGCAGAGGCCCAGGCGCGCCCAAGGCAGCAGGTCCGGGACCAGGGCGGACACCGCTGTCGCCGCGGCCTCCCGGTCAAAGTCGTTGTGGGCGTTACTCACGTCCAAGCTGACCTTGCAGCGCCGCGGCCGGCAGTCGATGTCGAGCAGAGCTGCCTTGTGCATGCGTTCTGCCCCCCGGGCGCTCCCCACTGAGTACTCGTTCTGCCCCAGCGCCGCGGCCACCCTGCCAGTGAACATCCGGCCGACGGCCTCCGAGGCGGCGCGCCGGTGGACGTTGCCCAGCGTTAGGGGTCGCACCTTGTTTTCTTCCTCCCGCACCTTATCCTCCTCCTCCTCCTCCTCCTCCTCCTCCTCCTCCTCCTCCTCCTCCTCCCCCTCCTCTCCCCCCGCAATTGCCCAGGCCCGAGCTTCTCCGAGTCACCGAGACTCCAAGCTTTCGAGCCTCTTCGAGGCACCGAGCTGCACCTCCCCCAGGGGCAACGACAGGGGGGGATAGGGCATAAGGGGATGCATCGATTCCCAATCGCTCATTGATCGCAGAGTGGTTCGATAACCCGAAGATGCCCAGAAACGTGCGGATTCACGATCGGGCGCCCATCGCCGATGTTTCGGCGATGTATCGCCGATTCCAGGTCGATGTTTCCTCCCCAGTGCTGATCCCCCCCCACATCGTTGCCCCTAAGTGTGTGGCGAGCCTCAGCCTGCGAGTGTGGCGGTCGAGCCGGAGCACGCCACTTTTCAGAAGGCAAGCGTTGCCGCCCAGGCCTGCGCCAAGTGCCTCCCGTGCAAGGGCGGCTCGAAAGGGTGCCGATCCTGCATGGGCGAGCGGTTTGAGGTCGTGCGCAAAAGGGGTTTCTTGACAAGACTCGGCGAGGACCTCTCTTGCGCAGGCAAGTTGTAGCCGTGAGCCTCGAGATCTCCCGAGTCAGTCTTGTGCCAAAATGTACAAGGTCAGTCTACACGAGCGCCCAGGATCATCATCCTCATCATCATCATCATCATCAGCATCTTCATCATCATCCTCCTCATCATAACATCACCTTCGTTGGGAAAATCGTGGATTATCCCCGCCAGACCCCCGGATTTCATTATCCCCAGGGGACTATTATCGGGAGAGGTTGGTTACGCAATCTTGACAGAGAGCCTGGTATGTTTCCGTCTCGAGGGTTCAGGAAGACAAATCTTGTTGGGCGACCGCAAGAGCCGCTCGCTCCAATGATGACGACGTAACGTGAAGAAAGTGATTCTAAACGCAGACCAGGGCAACATTGGAAACACTTCTTCTCGGCAGATCGCTGGGCACGCGCGTGCAACGAATTGTCACCTCCCCGTTTTCTCCGGCTCGTGCCGCCGGACAATTAGAGCCTGCCGTCTCCCGATCCGCCCGAGCGCGAGTGCGGACTGCCTTGGCCGCGCTACGACACAAGACAAGTGCGCCGCGAATTGCTGACGGCTGTGCTCCTGTTGGATCAGTCAGGACAAAAGGAAGGACCAGGGTGAGAAAAGGAGGGAAACATGAGGAAGGGAGTGAGGCATGGAGGCAGCCTGACGTCGCACAAGCTACCCACGTGTTGGACACACTGACATCACGTACTCATGAAATCAACATACTGGTTTTCCAGAGCGTGCCACCACTTGGCTGGCAGCTATTGCACAGCTTGTGCAATGATGCGCTGAGCGTTGCGACGTAGGAGCCTCTACAGACTGTCTGCCCAATGAGTTTCGGGGCGGCCTCGCCTCTGAGAGACGTTCTCGGGGTCCCACATTGGAGCACGATGCGGCGAGGTATTGGCATCATTAGCCGTCTTCGCTGACGCTCGCCACCGTGCACGATCTCTGCGCTCCATCCGTGCGGAAACGGGTATGGACATGCCATCCTGTATTCTCTTTCTGCGTTGTCTTCCAGTGTTTTCCCAAGACTCCTCGGAGAGCTTGTTGAAGCCGACGATGCGGCGCAGTATCTGTCTCCATACCGATGTTATCTCATCGCGTCGTTGTTGTGTGAAAGGTGTTGAAGACAGGCTGTAGACGGCAGCGGAGGTCGCTGCTGCATTGAACACGTTGAGACGGAGTTTCAACTATATTGCCCTGTTCGGTAACATGTCTTTGTCCGCGCTAAGCTTGCCCCCAGCACATCCCATCCGGTAGTTCAAGTTGCTTGTTGGACGGCGGCTCAAGCCGCCAAAGGGGTTTCTGGCAAGATAGTAGCGGCACTCCATGTTGGTCGTGGCCTGCAGCTGCTCGCCATTGAAGTCTGACCGCGCTCCCGCCTCGGCATGCTTTCCTCGGGCACGTGGTTGGTCGTGGTATCTTGCTTTTGCTGGCATCGAGCGGCAGCACTCGACTGCTCATAATGCCTGCGCGAGTACGCTCAGCATGCGCAGGGCCTTCTCCGCCTAGTTCGCGCACAGCAGGATGCCGTCAGCGTGGTGCCGCCACATCCGGTCGGCAGCCACTTGATGATATTCCCGCCCCACGGAACGCCACCTGACATGCCGGACATCGGTTTCCAGGACAGCATTGGACAGCAGGGGAAGACGAAGCGACGCCCAGTGCATGGATCCCTCGTTCGCTCCGCCGATCGGCACCCACATGGTTTTTTTTTGGGGGGGTTTTCGAGGGGTTGTTGAGGTTGCACGCCGGGGAAGACGACACATCCCTGCGTCACGCCCCGTGTAATGTCCGAGCTCTCGCTGTCATTGGCGGTGTAGGTCTGGTTCTGGTAGATTCCGGACGACAGCCCGTTTACCCAGAATTGCGAACGCCCGAAGCGCATTTCTATCAAAGGCTGTCCATCAAGTCTTCGCTGATGATCCACACCGACTGGGTGTACTCTCACGACTTCGAGCAAGATTCCTCGAATGCAGTGAGTGCGTCGTCGACAGACCGTCGAGATCGGATGCCATTTTGGTCGCAATGTTGTTCATCGCCCAGTGCTGACTGGAAGCGCTCGAGCAGCATGCGGCCGAAGATTTTGCGAATCATCTCCAATCTGATCCATTCCGGCCATCGTCCTTACATACCTGGTGGTGCTGGACATCACCGCGCACAAACGTTTCGAGGATAACACCCCTCTTGCCTGCGCTCTTCCCTTTATTTATCTTTTGGACTGCAACGTGCAATTCGTGAAGAGTGCACGGGTTTATGTCGCACGGCAATCTGTCGCACCAGGTAGATGACCAGGCCGCTCTTTCACTGGCCGCGTCGGTTGCAAAGGCCTGCTCCAATGACGACTTGAAGGTCTTGTTGCTGCCTACAGGGCAAAGGTTGCTTTGCTGAGCAGGAAACGTGTGTATGTGACGAAGGTGCTTCAGCCCTTTGAGCTTGACCAATTTTCAGTGGCGCTCCGTAACACTGTCTCATTGCACGTCTCTGCTCCTTGTTGATTAGCTTTGAAAGCCTTGACTTTTCAGACCGGTTTTCAGTCTGGCGGCGTTGCTGTCGCAACCCACTAAGATAATTTCTTCACGGCGGATGCTTCGGACAACTGTCCGTCCGCGCAACAGATGCTGCTGCGTCTGTCACATCCTTTCTCCAAACTCTGCGAATTCTGCGTAGGTTTCTCTCGAAGCAAATAGTCGACGGCATTTCCAAAAACTTGGTCTGTCCCATCCGTCTTGACAGACGGCTTCTGCCAGTGCCGTCGTCCAAGGCTCCTGCCCAGACGTCGCGGTGAGCATTGCATGAAATATCTGGCACGCACGGCCCTGTGATCTGCCACCAGGTTGAAATCGCGCATAGGAACACAAGATGCACATTCTACGCAAAGTGTAATCCAAAAACAGTAAGAAGTCCACCCACTCATTAGATCGTCGTTTGCTGTATGGCCACGCTGTTGATTACCGTGGAATGAACTAGGCGTTGCAGTAAGAAACCTCGCTTTCCAAGCTTTGCTTGGGTATTGAATCGCGGGCAATATTGAGTTTGCGAGAGCATCGTTTTGCGACGCCCACCTTTGCTTGCAACTGTGTATAGTGTCAAAGAAGTACTCGTGTGTGTAGCCTGTTAGGGGAAGGCACAGCGTTCATGATATAAGCCACGTTGTGTACTTTACGTGGACAGCAGTGGGCCCACCATGCGGTCCATGCAGGGTTCGGCATTGTCAAACAAATGCAATCCTGGCTTTGAAATTGACCGCGAAATTTCAGATACCAGTCCTTGGCCTAGGGTGGGCCTGGTCAGATTTGGTGTCGGTGCATGTTCGGCGTCCAGCTATCAGGCGGCCCTCGCTGTGACGTTCGGACTCGCGAACCGGCTCAGCACCAGGTGGATCAAGCACTACATCGTGCTGCCCGCCAGTCTGGCAATTCAGCTCCTGCTGTTCTACGCCGGTGTCGCCCTCACCTCTGACCTCGAGCAAGCCCGCGCCGACGGCTGGCTCTGGCAGCCCTTCCCGCCGCTACGGCTGGACGGGCTGCAGGTGGCCAAGGTGGACTGGGGCGTCGTCGCAGGTCAGTCTGCCTCCATCGCGTCCCTGCTCGTGATGCTCGTGCTCGACTTGCTGACGACGCTGCTGCCCATCGAGCTGATGACTCCCGAGAAGTCGACGAGGATGAGATCGGAGTTCCGCATCACCGGCTGCGCTTCGGCCTTGTCTGGTGCCGCGCTGGGGTCTGTCAGCTACGTCTCCCTCTCCCCGACGCGCATGAATGTGGAGGCGGGAGGGGTCCACCGGGTCAGCGGGCTCGCGTCCGCGGCCATATGCGGCCTGTGGATGCTCTTTGGGATGCCTCTCACCGCCCTGGTCCCGAAGGTGGTGGTGGGCGGCCTGCTGATGCACCTGGCCTTCGGCTATCTGCTGGATGGACTCTGGGAGTCCAGGGCTCTGCTTTCGACCGGGGAGCACGCGGTGGTGCTTTCCATCCTCCTGTACTACTTCGCCACAGACTTGGCGCCTGCGATCATAATGGGTTTCGTCCTCTGCTGTTTCAGCTTCGTCCTCCGCTACTCCCAGAGTAGCGCGCTGAGCCTGGTGACGTCGGCGCGGGACGCGTCGATGTACTCGCACTGCCCGCGCTCCAGCGAGGACAAGAGGTACCTCCGCACCCACGACGAGATCGTCGTGGCCCGCACCAGCTGCTCGCACCTGTTCTTCGGCAGCATCGCGTCGATCTTGGCCGACCTCTCGCCGATGCTGAGCGGCGGCAGGTTCCGCTTCCTGCTCTTCGACTTCTCCAGCGTCCGCAGCCTCGACTCCTCGGCGCTGGTGGGCTTCCGGAAGCTGCCGGCCGGCCTGCAGGTGGTCGCCGTCGGCCTGAGGCCCGACCTGGAGGAGAAGGTGCGCCGCGCGGGGCTGCCGGTGTGCGCGTTCGGGAGCCTCGACGAGGGCCTCGAGTGGTGCGAGGACCGCCTGCTGGGGTTTCCACGAGGGGGAAAAACACGCAGACACAATCGATCGTCGAGCCCCCAGAAGAGATGGGAGCATATGGGAAGTGGGGGGGAAGACAGAAACCTAGAAGATGTGGGGAAATTTTGGGGGATCCTGTGATTTGTGTGTGTGTGTGTGTGTGTGTGTGTGTGTATGTGTTTGTGTGTTGGTGGGCCCCTGCAGGTTTGCACACCTGCAGGCCGGGCGCGCGGTCGACGCGCGGAGTCTGCTGCTGGCCCCGCAGTCGAACAACCCGCGGGCCCCCGGGCGGGACTGCCCGCCCCTGACGCGCGAAGGTCGGCGGCGCAAAGATGGGGCTCTGAGGCTGAGGACAGGATGGCAGGCCTAGAGGTCGACACCAGCACCAGGATCGGCGGTGTGCCTCCACCGAGAGAAGACGATCCCGATCTCGGTGAAGGTGGTACCATTCTGGCTTCCAAGGTGGCCGAAATATTTCCACCAACACCGACATCTAGGATCATCTTCCCCATGTGGAGGCAATCCCCTGTGCTGGTGTTGGTGCCAAGTTCGGGTTCTTGATGCTTCGCGTCGTTCCCACTGGCCCATCCAGAAACAGATCGCCAGGCGAGTTCCCTGGAGCAGGGAAGTGCAGGAGCATGCAGTGTACCAACCCGCCTCGGAAGTGTCTTCTCAGAGGTCTCTGGGAGCCATCTCGGGTCTCTCTTGGGGTCCCCGCGGAGCCACTTGGGGCACTCTTGGGGCCATCTTGTGGTTCTTTCGGGGGGTCCAGGGGTCCTCTTGGGGCTTGTTGGAGGACAGGATGGGATCCCTAGTTGAACTTACATTGTTTTACGCCCGTCGTCCTCAGGGCCCCATCCCCCAGAGCCCCATCTTTGGACCGCCGAGAAGAGATCGCCGCGGCACTGGCCAGGGCCTTCCGGGACAGTGGGCTGGAGTCCCTGGTGGACTTCTTCCAGCCAGTCTCCGCGAAGCGGCACGAGGTCGTCTTCGAGGAGGGCGATGCGGCCGAGGGCATGTTCGTGATCGTGTCTGGCGCCCTGCAGGTCTACTACGGCAGCCACCGCAGCCTCATCCTGGGGCAAGGCGAGGTCGTCCTGGACGGGCTCGTGAAGCGCCGCTTCGGCCGCAAGGCCACGCTCTCCGGGGGCCCCGAGCAGCTGGGGGGCGGTCGTGGCCGTTCGCTGGCTCCAGGTCTGGGGAAACCAATCGATACTACCGCTACTCCCTGGACCCGGGATGCGTTCTGAGCAGGATTTCGAGGCGAATCGAGCAGTGGCGACGAGGGCCTCCCAGGAAGCCGAAGAAGGCGAAAGCGGAGCAAGGGGGTAGTTGGCCGTACGGGTACCCTTCCCCGGCCTTTCCCTGCCTTGAAGGCAGCGTCGTGTGCGAAGCGGCGCTGTTCGTGCCGCACCGCCACGGGTGGTCCCTCGTGGCCACCTCGCTGTCGCAGCTCCTGCTACTGACGCGCGATAGGCTGCTGGCCCTCGAGCAGCAGCAGCCCCGCGCCGCGCTACGGCTGCACCGGGCCCTGCTGGTGCTGCAGCACGCCTCCGCGGGCGGCGGTCCCGCCGACGATCGCCAGGACTGCCTGTCGCCACCCGCGCGGCAGCGGCTGTTCTCGGTGTGACCCGGCGCCCGCGTGCCAGAGGAAGGCCTGCCCTTGGCTTGTTTCCGCCTGTCCGGGCCTTCTGGGAGGCCCTTCGGCATCAGGGCTGGATTCGCCTCGAAGTTCTGGTCACAACGCACCCCGGGAGAGGTATGGGGAGTGGCAGTGTCAGTATCTTGGGGTTCCCCCATTGTGCCTCGGCACGCGCTGCCTGCGCGCTGGGAGCTTCTATCGAGTCGCCTTGCTCACTCCGCCGGGCCGTGCCGTGTCACTGTTGGAATTTGGTTTTGGCGGGCAGTGCGGCAGGCCATGGGGGGTCACAAAAGTGCAAGCGGAACGGAGCGTTCGCTTCTGCGAGAGCATGGGGCAAAATACCATAGCCCCCGCAGTTGCGGAGAAGAGTGAAGGGGCGGCGAGGTGGGTCACTTACTGGGTCGTCGGCAGTCTGCGATGCTCGCGGGACAATTTGAAGCCCGCCGCTGGCGCCTTCATTTTGGTGATTGTTTTGTCTTTTGCATCTTACACAACGAGCCCGCCGCAGGCGCCGATTTTTCTTCGTCAGAGCAACGTGGGTGGGTCGCGGGTGGGTTGCGGGCTGGTCGCGGGTGGTTCGCGTGTGGGTCGCGGGCGAGTGACAACAACAAAAAGCAATCAACATATTTCAGATGCGCACCCAGGGACGGTGTGAGACCGTTCGGCCCCCTCTTTCTGAGGTAATTCGGCGGGGGGATTTTCTTGTGGATTCATGGCAGTCTCTGGGATGTATCTGGGGGCTCATTGGGGTTATCTCAGAAGCCTCTGGCAGCTCCAGGGGGCCATTTAGGTTTGTTGTGGGTCGTTCGGGGCCACGTGTGTCACGTGGGTGTTAGGGGCCGCCGCAGTTCGTGGTACCGGATGCTCTTTGCTTTCAGGCGTGTCTGTGTCTGTGTCTTGTGTGTCGCGTTGTCGGAGCTGTGTGGGGGCGCTCCTGGGTCATTGGCCCTCTCGTCAAGCTCTCCTTGGGTTGCGTTGGAGCTATTTTGGGCGACGTTTGAGCTATCTTGAGCAACGTTGGAGCCATCTTGAGGCCTAAGAAGCCTTTGGGAAGCAAAATGGCGAGCACAAGCCATATCATTTAGTCATCTTGGGGCTTTGAACGATTTGGGCCTGTTCGGGGCCTCTTGCAGGCTGTCTATAACCATCTCGAGGCTATCTCGTGACTGTCTTGGAGCCATCTCTGTGTGCCTCGGCACGCCCTGGTTGCGTGCGGAGGGCTTCAATATCTTTTGCTGAGAGCGCTACGGAAAGCTCACGTCTTCAGTGCGTGCTTGAATTTTTGTGGAAGAGCACCGCGGCCGCCGGTCTTCCTCTCTTCCTCGGAAGGGGGACAAAGCCTCGTGACACTTGCAGCACCTCGTGACAATTGGCACGTGAGGCTCTGTCGACTGACCGCCTCCGTGCTTTGAATGACGAGAAGTGGGATCTTGGTTTTTGGCTCTCAGGCGTGAAGTGCCAGCAGAAGCCAGTCTCACTGCCAGGGTAAATGGTCTGCCCATCGGCCCAGACTGGTAGACGCTGCAGCAGGTAGGGAATTTGTATTTGTTGACACGCTACCTTCGACCTGATGTGAACGACATGCATGGCAGGCCGTCTTCCCAGGCAGCGACGTGTGCTTCCGCATTCTGTCGGGAACCAGTCGGCTTGCTCGACGTTGAAGCATGAAATAGGAGGCGAACGGCGATCGCTGCAGGCCCCGACGTGCTCAGCGCCGTGTACCACTGGGCGTAGCATCGAACGAGGGTTTTCCACAGCAGCCGCTGCCAGCTAGCTCTCCATGCCTTGCGGGCTACTTTGAAAGATGCGGCTGGTGTCATACGTCCGTGCGTGGAGGCATGATGTGGCACGGGACGCCCTCTGCCGAGCAGTTGCCTGCAAGAGGGGCCTTCGCTCCGGGACCCCTTCTTGGCGCTTGGCAGCCCGCCGCGAGCCGATGAGGTACGGCGTGCCTCCTGCTGCTCCTTCCTCTGCGAGCTGCGGCCCGCCCATGCGCGCGCCGCGCACGGCCGCTCGCGCACGTGTGCGCGCGCGCGGACGAAGAGACAGGCAAAGGCAGGGCGAGGGGGCCGACCGGTCTCAGACCGTCCCAGGGTGCGCGGCCGAGGTGGGGTGCGGCGGTGCAGATACAGTCGCAGATGCGGTGGCCGCTGTGTTGTCGCCCGGCCCTCGCTCTGCCAGGGCAGATGCTCCAAGCCCCCCTCGCTCCCAACCGCAACTGCCAGGAGCTAGGTGCAAAACCAGCGCGCCGATGGTGCTATCGAGGCTAAACAATCCAAGACGGGAAGCCGCGGGGAGGAGGGCGGGAAGGAGGTTCGAGCCCGCAGGCCTGGTACAGAATGGTCTGAGTTCAAATCATGTGTGGTGCAAGCTGTCGTGTCTCTCTGACCTCCTCGTCGGCCGAAACGTGCGATAGGGCATGGGCCGGCACGCCCGTGCAGCGAGCAATCTTGTCACCCAAACTTCCATAACGGCCGAAGTGCGCCATAGCGGATGGGCCATCACGCTCAGGCAGCAGACAAGCTTGTCATGCTCAAACTTCCATAACGGCCGAAGTCTGCAACGGCGGATGCGCCGACGCGCCCAAACAGTAATTAGCAGGCAGCAGTCAGCTTGAGGGCAGCCTATGTGTGTGTGTGTGTGTGTGTGCGTGTGCGTGGAGGCGTCTCCGCCCCCCGCTTCCCTGGCCTGGCCTCCCCGCAGGCGCGCAGCTCAGCACGGGCCGCATTACTGTATGGCGTCCCTGTGCTGACTGGCGGTGTGTTTACCTGGCTGGCTTGCCCTGGCCGCTGCACCCCCGCGATATCCATCGCGCGGGCCGGCCCGGCTCTGTGCGTGTACCCCAGCCGCTGGGGCTTTCTCTGCCACGTCTGCTACGGGTGGCCGTGGGCGACCAAGCCAGCTCGCGGCGCCCTGCGCGGGGTGGCGGGCCCCCAGGACTTCCTCGGTTACCTTCGCGGAGGTGGCGCATTCGGGGCCGTCCAGGGGATGAGGGGTCGGGACCTCTGGGAAGAAATCGGGGGGGGGGGGTGTCTGGACCTCCTGGTTCTTCGAGTGTGTGTGTGTGTGTGTGTGTGTGTGTGTATGTGGTGGGTGGGTGGGGGGGCGGCTAGGGGGGAGGGGCGGGGGGCTAGGGGGTGTTTTCTGGCCACTCCCCTGGGATGTCTCCAGGGGGTTTAGAGGGTTGGGCCCTTGTTTCCCACCCCCCCGATGTCATTTTTCGGGCCGGTGACGGTGGATCGCGCTCCCTCCCTCTCTGATCCTGGTCTCCAGTTCTGGTCCAGCTCCTTTCTGTCGTTCTGCTCCTCCTGCCGCTTCTCCTCGTCGTGCTCTTCGCCCTCCCGAGGGTCAATTTCGGTCCCCTCGGCCCGATCCGCTATCGTTTCGGGCCGGCCGGATCTGGTTCGACGCCGAGATTCCGACGACCCGATGCGCCCCAATGCTTGCGTTGCGCTGTTGTGCATGTCGGCGCAGCCGATCCGATTCTCGACTTCGACTCTTTTGCCGACGCAGTCCGATCCGCTGCGCATTCCGATCCGATCTGATTTACCGATGCGATGCTGACTGATCCCGCCCCCTGGACCTATTCGACCCTCTCCATCACTTCCCCGTGGCCCACGCCCTTCGCTCGCCCTGCTCCTGCTGCTGCTCTTTGTCGTGCTCCCTAACCTCCCTGACCTCCCCTTCGCTTTCGGCGCCAAAGCGCTCTCGGCGAGTCGCAGCCGATGGAACGCATGCCGAGGCTGGGAAAACCGCCGGGAGTCGACCCAGCCGTTTGAGAACCTCAGACCTTGAACCGTCGAGCCTGCCCCTGCTCCTCGCCCCCCCTGTCGGCGGCGAGCGAAGGGCGAGGGGGGGGGGGGGTGAAGTGAAAAGGGGCGGGCCCTCCCAGAAGGCTCGGAACTCCCCCGGCCTTCCGAGCAGTTGTCCGAGCGTTCCCCGAAGTCACGGCAGAAACTTCTCGTCGGGCGCGAGGGGCTCGGAGGAACCCCGCCGCCTCCCGAGAAGGCCCCCATGCTCCTCGCTCCCCGCCTCGCTCGCCGCCGACAGACCCTGACCTCCTCCCCGTCGTCCCCGGCGGGGCCCGCAGCAGCGCTCCTGCCGCCTGCCTGGCCGCGTGCCTGCCCTCTGCCTCCGCCCCCCCCCCCCCCTCGAACCCCGAGCTCCCGAGCTCCCCCCCCCCTGGGCCTCCCCGTGGCCTCCTCGACCTGCGCCCCGTCGCCCCCTCCGTCCGGCCCCGCGTCGCGCTCCCGCCGTCTGCCTGACCGTGCCTCCTCCTCCTCCTCCTCCTCCTCCTCCTCTTTCTGTTCCCCCGCCTCCTCCTCCGCCTCCTCCTCGTCCTCCTCCTCCTCCTGCTTTTGCTCCTTCTCCTTTTCCTTCTTCTCCTCCTCCCCTCCTCCTCCTCCTCCTCCTCCTCCTCCTCCTCCTCCTCCCCCTCCTCCTCCCCCGCCTCCTCCTCCTCCTCCTCCTCCTTCCCCCCCCCCGCCCTCCCCCTCTCCCCTCCCCTCCCCTCCCTTTTCTCCGCCATTCCCCTCCCCCCCCCCCCCCTCCCCTCCCCGCCCCGCCCCTCCTCTATCTCCTCTTCCTCTCCCCTGCCCCCCCTCCCCCCCGACTGCGGCCGGAGGGCAGCGACGGCGAGGAGGGCACGGCCAGCAGCGCCTCAGGCGGGGGGGTGAGTGGGAGGAGGAGGAGAACGAGGAGGGGGGAAGGAGGAAGCCGCTGGATGGTGGCAGTTGGCGCCTTAAGGTATTTGGGTCTGAGTCGTGGAGGTAACTTTGGTACTCCTCCCTACAGCCATCTTCGTTGGCCGAGGGGCCGTAGGGAGGGCCTCGGCCCCCCCTGGTGCCAACGACGACTTCCTTGATTGGTGTACCGATGGGAGTGGGACTCCGGCAGCCCCTATGATTGTAGCTGCCAAGGGGTGGCGCCTATGATGGTCAGGAGGCGGATGAGAAGGAGGATGAGGAGGATGATGATGAGGAGGAGGA